GAACGCTTATACAGAAAAGAAAACTCTTCCCGGATCTCCTGGAGACGCCGTCGGGAGATCCGGGAAGAGTTTTCTTTTCTGTATAAGCGTTCGAGTTCCCTGGAAACCTCTAGCAGGGAGATAGGGTTTGGAACGCGAAGAGCACCGCGTAAATGCGTTTTTTCCTACTCTCGGAAAGTAACAGTTACACAACATCCACATCAATGTAACACATGCGTGTTGTATTATATTTACATGATGTTATGGAACTCTGTTTGCTGAGCCATTTTTCAGAAAAATCCACAGAATGAGCGGGACCAATTCTACATGATATTTTTCGAGAACAACAAATTAGCAAGAAATACTATAATATCGTCGTTATTTTTCGTTTACGTATCCACAATTTTCCGTTAATTTGATCTTTAGCGAAATATCATTTTTCAGAGAGACCTGCTGAATAATAGAATAGGTAAAAAAAACAGAAATATTGTTCGATCGAATAGTGCAGAAATTTTGTTCACTCGTATCAGTAATATTTACACAAAAGTTCAGGTTGGTGGGATAGCATCTGTTGTTCTGAACCTAAAGTTTCGATACTCTCGCCGAAAACACTGAAATGTACGTATATAGCAAAACCGTCCTGTTTATCGCTACAGTTGCGCTTCGAGGCTTGTAATACGATACAAGTCATTATTTTGTACTTCTAATTCAAGTTAAAGTCCAGGGCAGTTAAAGGACAGGTAAAATGTAAAAAATTAACACTATATCACACATGTACAGCTACTCTAATGAGTGAGCACTCATCGACAATCGCAAATAACCCAGAACTCATCACGTGGAGGTGACTGCAAATCAGGTTCTCTCATAGTATAAACGCAATGGACAGCAGCACTGAAAGATCCGCGAATTAAGCCGCACATGGTTGGGCAGGGCTTGGGAAAACCTGATTTGCAGTCACCTCGACGTGATGAGTTCAAGTAACTCGTCAAGGTCAAACTAATGGCACCATTTTGTGTCCCCCTTCGAACCAAACAAGTTTTGTCTGAAACGTTTTTTCTGCGATCAAAAATAAAAAAGTGATTTGGGGTGGAACATTCAATTGGGTCACCCTGTATACCTAACTTTATTTTGAAATGTGGCAAAGTTTATCTTGACAATAGAGTTGACTTTATGAACCGGTATCAAGTGTCCTCAGGTTTGTTTTCTGTTTCTGCATTGGTGAACTAGAGCAGTAAGTTAGAATGAGAAAAAATATGTTTGTCTTACTCTAATTTATTGCACCAGTTCACCAGTGTAGGAACAGAAAACAAACCTTTTGTCTCATATTTTGGCCGTTGATTCTGTGACAAACTGTACACCCGTCCGACTGCTACTGTGTCAAACTCGCAGAAGTCTATCAATGAGATTCTAGCAAGAGAGACACACAGACTTCCTGTAGTACCTCTTCCTCTACAGCGAACCCCTTTCTCTATGCTTGTAAGAACGACAGTGTGTAAAAAAATACTTTTAAGTTTTTAATAACATTAACAAAGACGAATGCAAATTCTTCCGCAACTACGTATAATAAGTTAATAATTACACTTTTCTTTTCTTGGCACGTTATTCTTCTCATACTCTTTCTCTTCTATTATCACAATATCATTTTAATAATTTCAATGCTTTTGACTTGTTATCTTTTTTATACTTACATTATATTTCTTATTATTATTCTTGTTTTCATAATACGATTATCGTCATGTGGTCAAATCCTTGATGCTTTTGTCGCATAAGATTTATATTATTCTGAAAATATATCAATCAATGAATTGCAGCATTATTTATAATATTTCTTATCCGCATTTTATCTCTCTGACAAAGTCATTTAAGAAGGAATTCCCAGGAAATTGATTGATTTTCTTATGGATTAAAGTTAGTGTATAAACAAACCAATCAATTTCCTGGAAATTCCTTCTGTTGAGGAAAACATGATATAAGATTCCAAACTGTCGGATTGCAAAATTATGCGATCGATAATTATTCGCGTCTTTATTTGCCTTCAGAGTTATCATGCAGGGTCAATGAAGAACTCGACCTATCGTACCGTTATCACATTACAGTAAGAGAGAGTAGAGACGATTGGGCAGTCAGGAGTTTTGGGAACCTCTTTGTAAAAAATACAACTCGGTGTTAAAGAATACAACTGATAACTGACAATTTCATGGCAGTACTTTAGATAATTAATCGACAACACCTTTAAACGATTAGCGTTCTTACTTTTATTGTGAAAATAATTGTTTATACTTGTCGGAAAATTATTTTAAAAAGTACTATAATAAACACTATAATAGTTATAACTTTACATGAAATTTGTTTACAGTGTACAGTAATAAATACTTTTTCGACGTTACGAAGAACTTCCTGAAGATATCTTTACTTTTTGTTGTGGTCATAGATTATGTATTTAAAAATTTTGCTGAATTGGATAACAGATAAATATAGAAATGCACTACGGGCAATGTTCTTGGTAACCGTAATGAATTTAGAGGAAAGTGGAATACTGATATTTTGTGGTAACTTTCCTTATCTGTCAATGATGACTAATAGTTTTAACGTTTCAATGAAACAACACTCCTGCGTGGGCTCAATCATGCAGTAATATTATCTTGGGAAACTCCGAGTGATTGCAGAAGTAAGACATAATATATACAATCTCGGTCAATTTTTTTCTTGCGAGATTTTTTATTATCTTCCGAACGAGAATATAATCTATAATTATTCCAATATCCAACCGGCTTTTTTCTCTCTCTTTCCTTCCTAACCTTCATATCTCCTTTTCGCTCGTATGCCTTTCAGGAAAAATTCCTGCAAGTTTATTTCGCCTTCATTTTAATTTATAAGCGGACATTAATTCCCTTCCTGGAAGTAGAATACTGATTTTGTCGTCTTTTTATTTTCACATTAGTGGAATATTAAATATTTCTCTTCTAAAGAATTATGCCAAAGCCGTTAATTAAGACCAATAAAAGCAAATATATGTTTATTTATCTGGCTCTCTTGATTTCGGAACTAAATTGTGGAATAACATGATTTATTGAGATTATTTATAGAGAAACATATGTACATGGAATGGCTAAAGTTCGTTCTTCAATCGAAAATGATAAAGTAAAATTTGAAAGATTTATACAAATGTAAATTGAACACTAAAAATTTTTAACAAATAATAAATCACGCTTTCAAGATAAACAGGTAATAGAATAGCATAACATACACAATAAAAATTAGTTTTTAAATAAAAATCATGAAATCTTTGCAGTTGGAAATCGATCTTGAATCGATATTCAAGAGAACGATCAACCTTGTGCAGACTTGCCACATTATTTCTACGAACGAAACGTAAGCTTCGACACCCCTACAGCTGCTAATTTGCGTTACAATAAGTTATCGTCGATGATAACAATTCGCGGGAAGATAATAAAATTGTTGCCCAAGGAAAGTCTGCTCAATTCCAATTTACGCAGAATCGCAGATTCTACTGTAATCGGCAACGAATCACGGCGACCGATGACTCGCTATAGACGATTGTCCCCCACCGAACCGACAATTTTAATAAGCCCAGCAAGTAGTGAAGGAGCTTAGTTAATCGGCGACTCACGAGCAGCCGTTTAGTACCGGTTTGGATCTCAACTCGAGAAACCGAGACAGTGGCGAGTGGGATTTCTCACGTTCTCCAACGAAGTGTGGAGTCTCGCGTTGATCGACGAGAATCATCAAAGCAAAACAAGAAAATTCCTGACTCGCTCTGATCTGAAAGAGAGAGAGAGAGAGAGAAGAAACAAGAAAAACAGCGAAGTGATTACAAGATCTTGATTCCCAGGGAGTAATTACATGCCGATACCACAAATAAACATGATGGTTATCGGCACGCTAGTTCTTTTCCTCACGTTAACAGCGATCCATGCACGTGAGTTGTTCGACGTCAGTTCTAACATTAGCATCTTTTCTTGGCCAAATTAAAAAATCAATCGTTTACTTTAAACAACACAATTAACGCAATTAACATATTAAAAATTAAATCGATCTAATTCTCGCATTTATACCGAAATGCTTTCCGAGATAAATGTTTAAAACAAATGTTTATCTCCAGACTATTTCCACATGTGTACATTTGAAATGCGATATGCTGGATTCATTCTGAACTTCCATAATAAAGTTCGAATGTTGTTTTTAAAATATTGCTGTCTGAGAAATAGATTGGTTAAATGAAATAATAAATTACTGTTACAGAGAGATGCCAAGAAGCAAGTGCTAACTGTATCAACATTCGCAATTGTCCGGCGATCTTAGCAATTCTGACAGGTCCTAAACCGCTTTCGGCAAGTACAGTGGAGACTCTTCGAATCTCGCAATGTGGCTTCGACGGCAACGACCCGAAAGTTTGCTGCAACCTGGTAATTGAACCTAAATGTATTAATTTATGGGCAAAAATATTAACTTAAAGCTAATTAATTTATTGAAATCAAATAAAGTAATAAAATTAAGAGTTAACTAAAAACAAGCTCGTTCTTTTTTTTAAATAAAATATCAAGAGTATAAGGCCAATAATAATACGAGCAATTGATTGTCAATAAAACATTAAAAATTCAGTTTTGTAAAGCGTTAAAACTACTTATATTAGAATATTTAGTATTATACATTTTTCAGTTACCTAACTTATAACGACAATATGAATGGTAACGCATTTCTTAAATCTCTGATTAGCTAATTATCTAACAGACGTTTCGACTAGACTTATTGTTAGTCATCCTCAGTGTGTTTGTCCTTGTAATATGTGTGAGCGAGGCTCCTTGTCCAAGTAAGATCCAATAATCCTTTGTGGTTTATGTATTACGTATCAGCGTATTTCACATTAGTAAGTGTGAATAGTTATGCACCATTTTTCGGGCGGTTTTTCATACCTTCGAATAAAGTAATTATTGGAATTAAATCGAGGACAGTCTCCTAGCTCCGATCTTACTTTCGACGCATGATAAAACTGGGAGCCTCGCTCGCATATTACAAGGACAAAAACACACTCAGGATGACTAAGTATAATAGTCGAAGCGTCTGTTAGATAATTAGCTACTCAGAGAGTTAAAAAATGCGTTACCATTCATGTTATCGTTATAAGTTAGGTAATTAAAAAATATGTAATATTAATATTGTAATATAAGTAGCTTTAACTCTTTTTAAAACTGAATTTTTTATGTTTTATTGACAATCAAGTGCTCGTATTATTATTGGCCTTATACTCTTGATATTTTAATAAAATAAAACTAAATCACAATTATATAATATAATCCATATTTTTCCAATTCGAGAAAGAGAATTAAATTTAATATTATATGAAGCTAATTTTTTAAAATGTTAACAGAAAAAAGCTCGAATGCAAAAACAGAGATTCTGATTAGGAATTACAATGATTAAAAACACACTTTTTTGCGAATAAATTATTGCAACTATGTATTAACGATTTTATTTCCCTTTTGTTTTTTATTTAGTGCTAGTTTTGTAAATAAGTTTTTGAAATAATAAAAGTTTATTTATTGTCCGATGATGTTTTCGTCGAGGACATCGAATTAATGCATTTTGGATGATTATCTCCAATGTATCATATTTTGACGCATATATCTTTCATAATGTGTATACATAATGAGAATGCGTCATCGCCGCGAACCGTTTAATAATCTTCTGAAAAAATACTAAAACAGGTTTTTGTAACTTCGAGTTTCCGTTTTATCTCGATCTTGTGGTATTAGCAAGACATCGAGCTGAAGTTTCACTCGTTGAAGTCTGCAACTTATAAAATTTTCTGTTACACTGTAACAATGAAATCAGAGATTTTACTACAATTAAAGTATTTAATTTATTCTTAATTGAACCTATTTTAATCTTACAGATATATTTTCCGGACAAAGCAATAAAAATATTTTTGTGCACAATTCTCCCATTTTTAACGATCTTTAATATTAATTCGCGGACGCGAATTTGTAAATTGGACAATCATTTGGGAATATGACGTTTTACGTTCTTAGATGATAATAAAGTTTTTTTATAAATTTAACTAATTACGAGATAGTTGAATTTTTGCTTCCGTGCAAAAGTTAAATTCAAGTATCGGTTTTCCATTTCTTCTGCTATTAAATATTAATTTTTTTGCGATAGGAAACATCGACACCGATGATGAGGAGAGATGCCTCGAATCAAGGCCCACCAGATGTGACAAACCATCCGAATCTACGTTTATTGGATCATGTAGCATGCGGACCCCTCGCCACACAGAAAATAGTCGGCGGTAACAAAACCAGAGTCTTCCAGTATCCATGGATGGCGTTAATCTCGTACACCGGCGACATCAGCAAAACAGATCCCGATTTCCGTTGCGGTGGTACACTCATCTCCTCGCGCTACATCCTCACCGCCGCTCATTGTGTCACCGAGCTTCCAGATGGTAAAAGAAATTCCTATACCCGTAAACACGATTGAAATCTTTTGCTGAAAATACCATAAAATTGATATAAAGTAAAATGAATGTTATTAAAAATTTATTAAATGTATCTCAAAATGAATTATAACTTGCCTTATAAAATTCAAGGTATTGTAAAATATAAGGAAAATTAAAGTATATTGTTCAAAAGTAATGAAAAATTATATAATATTCGATATTATGAAATTTACTGGATTGAACTAGAAACTGTTACTTTTCAATGAAAAAATTTTGAAGAGAGATTTTGAAATACATTTCAGCAAAATTTAATTATATTTTCAGTAAAATGCTTTTATCAGGGATAAAATAAATTCTTATATAAATTCGTGTAACTTGTATCATATTGTTCTCCAGGTCTCCAAGTAATAGGCGTCAGAGTAGGAGAACACGACCTAACCACGGAACGTGACTGCGAGAGAGACAAAAATGGGAGGGAAGTTTTTTGTTCAAACTATCAGGATTTCGGCATAGATAGCATCCAATCCCATCCGGACTACACGACTAGTAGAATGCAAAATGATATCGCGCTTATCAGGTTGAATGTTTCCGTAAACTTCAGTCCACGAAATATCAAGCCGATTTGCCTACCTATCGGTAATTCGAGGCCGATAAATCGTGACAATGGGGTGAGGAAATGTAATCAATATACATTCATTTCTATTCAATTATTCCAGACGAAAAGTAACAAAGAAAGAAGCAGCCGAACAGACTTTTAAGTCACATTGATTTTATTTCAAAATATTCAAATCTGCCGCTGATTTAACCATTAAAAAAGCAACTTTTAAATAACAATTCACGGAATCCTCCCCCCCTCTCTTTCTTTCTCAAAAATTGAAATAGTTCACAATTAAGGCCGCGGTCCACTCGATGCTTCAAAGCGTCCTTCTTCTCCTTCTTTCTTTATTAGAAGAAAGGAGAAGAAGAATGTTTCGAAGTGTTTATAACATCAAGTGCATAAGTCTCTTCGAATGTCTTTTCGATTATAATGTATAAAATTTTTTGAGGAAACGTTTTTTAGAAACTAACTGTTACGTAACATCAACATTACTAATCTCCTACTCAACAATGTAACTGCACCCACAGAAAAAATTTCCGGATCCAATGCTATTGCACTTCAATATATCATAAAATAGGATCGATATAGCACCAAAAAAATTCTAAAATCTAGGATAAAATGATAGTATGTATCGTCTTTTGTCTAATATCGTGCAAACTTGGTGCGTTGTAAGATGGAGGGAAAATTTATTCTAAACGCAAGAATATATAAACTTACATTTATGTGAATTACTCTTGTCTCAATATATTAAGTCGATCTTTTTTAATTCGATAGAGGAGAATAAGAATTATTGATTTTATTTTGATAGTGTCTTATTTTTATACCAAATGAGGCTGTGAGAAATATAAGTGCGTCAAGAATGTTTTTTGTTCTCAGTAACAGAAATTCTTTCTGAATATGTGTTATGTACAACGTATCTTGTATTACATTTATATTGTTGAGTGGGAAATTATAACATTTATATTATGTAACTCTTAGTTGGTGGGTTGCTGGGTTCTATTTCGAAATTTCTCTTCCGATTGACAGGCTGTGGTGACCGGCTGGGGCGCGACGGAGTCGGGCCAGCGTAGTAAGGTTCTTCTGCAGGTGAATCTGCCGCTGGTGGACAACGAGCAGTGTGAAGAAGCGTACTCACGGTCCGCGGACATCTGGTACAAGCAGATATGTGCCGGCGGCCACATTGACGTGGACTCCTGTTTGGGAGACAGTGGCGGGCCTCTGCAGGCGGAAAGTATATACAACGGCGGGCCGGTGCGATTCGTCCAGTACGGCGTGGTCAGCTACGGGTTGAGACAGTGCGGCACCGACGGCTTCCCCGGAGTTTACACGAGAGTCACCTACTACATGGACTGGATCCTCAACACGATGACACCTTAAAAAGCGGGATTAAAACAGAATGCATGTCTTTCGCATTAATCTCAATCTACGTGTTTGGCGACGCAAACGTGGTGTAATCCGAAGAGAATGAGAATACAAGTTTTGCGAGGTATTAGATAGATGCAATAGATAAGAAAAAATTAATTTTGGAAGATAGGCTGAATAGGTGAAAATGCAGAAGAGGAATATGTTATATTATATTTTCGACGCTTGTAGAAATAAACGATTTAGACGACTAGGAAAATGATCCGTGAGTGAATCCAAATAAATATCGTTAGTATGCATGTTATAATACATTAATTAATAAAAATAATTATTGTTAATTTTAAATACTCTTGTTATCTTTTTATATTAGAAGTGTTTCATTGCCGATACAACTTTATTCTATTAGACGGTAATCTCTTGGGATTGCGACTTAAATTAAATTATGCGACAAAGTATTATAATCGCATATGCAATAAGTGTGAAACATCTTCGATAAGAAGAGAAAAATGACAGTTTTTCAAGAGACAGAGACAGAGAAACATCTTTTCTAATAGATATTCGTGCTAAACCGATGTGTAATTATAATTTATATGTAACATGTGTTTTCACGTCTTATAATATCGATATATAATTTTTCCATAAAAGAGTTGTTGTTTATTTCCCAAGTTCTACGAAACAAATGTTTATCGCTTGTGATAATGCTAGACTTCGCGGAATGTAGGATAATTCCGGGAGAGATGTCACATCTCAATCAATTGGTAAGCAAAATCTTATTTTATTAACCTCATCATTTATCGCCCATTACATTATTACGTCACGTATAATAGATTCGAAGCTCGTACTTGATATTCTGTTAGGACGCGTATTTCGCAAGGCTTGTTCGTACGAAAAATCTATCATCGAATTCAACGACGAAGCAATCATATTTTCGGGTATCGCAAGTGTCGTAATTTCTATAATTTCACATTATTAATTTCTCGTAATCAATCTGATATGAAATGCGTACTTACGTTTCGTGGCATGATTGATATCAAATCTCGTGACAAGATTGACCAAACCTCGTAATTGACTTGAACACTTCGTGGCACTTTATAGTATAACACCTTAGTATTAACCGCACGCGACAAGAAATTAAGGAAACGCAAAAACTATACGATTCACGAAGTTACTATTTGCACTCGGTGCTCCTTGTAAATTTATCCGATGGTATGAATTTTATCAACAGAAATCGATGTGTAAATGTCAAATTTAAACTATCGAGTAAAACTATGAGTAAATATTACAATTATATAATTAAGCACGGATAAGATTAATTGATATTTAATGTTTTAATTAAACGTATCGCAATGATATTCGACTCAAAATTCTGCATTTTGACCAGCATTTGTATGAATCCATCAATAAAAGAAAAATTTGAAGATTACACATTTAATAATTAATTGAGACACAATCGTCCAAAAATAATTTTAAAATTCAATGTCGCACATGTATTTTCATTTATAAATTCCGTAAAAATATATAAATTAATAGTATTAATAAGTCACATCGATAAATACTAGTTAAAGCACTTGATTCAATATGTGTATCATTTCGTGCTTTCAAACTAGACGCAGCCAACAAATTGTACTCGACGCGAGATTCAATACGACGATACGAGATATGTCCATCGATTAAAGGAAGCAATTATCGTCCGTAATTATCTCAATGAAGGAGTAATTTTAAGTCAGCTAGCGCTTTCATTCTTGGACGTACAGATCTCATATGTGTCTCGCCGGATCGCAGTTTCTTCCCGTACTTGTCGCGAACGCGTATCGAGAAAGAATAGTACGATGTGCGAAACGGCGCGGACTTGAATGACTAATCCTGCGTACGACGTGCTATTGTTTAGCCGTGCGTCATAGACCGAGCGTGGATTCCAAGAAATGACGTAGCGCCCTAGACCGCGCGACGTAAACAACTCGGTCGCCGAGCTCTGGTTCCAAGAAATGACGTAGCGTCGAGGACACCTCGATTGAAAAACAATCTATTGTATGTACAGGTATGTACATACCTAGCTATAACTAGTATTATAGTACCGAATCCGAATCAGTTGACGCGGCTCAGTCGAGCGAGGCGGATGGTACGCGTGTCGTCGTATCGCTCCTCGTAACGCGATTATACCTTTTGTAACAATCGAACTCGGATGAATCTTTCTCACGTCGGGTAAAGTGATAACGAAAAACTATAACATATCGATAGCTTGCCAAGAAATAATCTCTCTAACATTAGTACATATAAAAGTGCGCGTATAACATAAAGTTTCCAATTTCGTCGCGTTCGGGAGTGCCGTTTAAGTAATCGAACTAAAGACTTTTTAAAGTCCATTTGAGGATTTGTTAAATGTCTGTTCCTGTCGATAGCCACACTTCTGAGATCTGACAGTTTTTGGGGTATAATACTCGTCGACTCGAAGTGGAGGCGAACTTGACGGAACAAAATACATTCTTTCACCTGGGCTTTAACGGGAGTGTAAAATCGCGCGAACGATCTTTGTGTTTTCGCGAGTATACCGGACAATCTGAGTGGAGGAGGAGGCCCGGAAAAGGCATCAGGCATCGGCGGAGCACCTTTAAGGTAATTATATTTTATTTAGTGTAAAATTAATCTCTTTTCCAGTTCATTTTTGAGTCGTTATACTTCATAATTCTATAATTCCGAAATAATAATTACAGAATACGAAATAATTTAAAATCTTATAAAAGTTTATTCTCGCGAAGATCTTTTGCGGAACATCTTTCGCGCATTAATCGTTTAAACATCCAATCAAATAAAACGTTTCGTAAGAATTACTTATATTTTACAATATATATTTTCTTGAACTGCTTTAATAAATTCTACATTTGTGTTACAGAAATAACATAGCGACCTCCGCTGCTGCGCATCGGATGGTAAGTCGAGAAACTTTTTTTATCAAGGCAACGAATCTACATTTCGTAGATCGTAGACTGTAGTTCGTAGATCGTAGATTAGTATATCCCATAGATTCGATGCCTTAAAATGGATTGGTTACAATAATTTCATGTTTATTTTACTATATTTCGTCTATCGAAAGGGAGTGATCGCGACTTTTACTGTAAAGGGTTGGGTGCCCCATTGCAGCACATCATATATTTTCACGCAAAATATGACGAATATTATTAATGTATTCAACGAGCTATTCTCTTGTAGCCTATCCATTTTTCATTAACAAATTTATATATGTACAATGTTAAATAATATGACGTGAGATTCAAATATTTTGTTGAGAACGCTGAAACTTTATATTATTTTTATACATTGTTTGAGATTATTGATTAACTAGAATATTCAATTGTCGGTCTATCTATCGTACGGAAAGTTTCTTTTCTCTGGGTCTCACGTCATTTACTCTGTATGTGTATCCCGCGAAACACTTGCAAGAAGATGCGTCTCGCATGAATACATGCCTAGTTACTCGCATCTTCGTACATTTTCGCGGTCGGTCTTCGCGATCAGTTGTTCAAACAATTTTCCAAAAATTATTAATTGTTTAATTTCATCCGTGCTATAAATTTTCATTTATCGCGGAATATAATTAAAATAAATTTAACGCGAAGTAAATTGTTTTTTTTTCTATGTACATATATACTTGAATTTTGAATTTAAAGATTGAGTCACGAAGAAACTGTCATTATCTATTTTTAAATAAACAAAGGAAGTTAAAATATATTTGATTAGTTTTATACAGCAAATTTTTAAAATTAATTTTCTTCTTTAATTAACTTCTCGTAGCCGTGCATTTCGATACGATCGACGCTCGCATATAGTTCGAACCGTACGAAAAATCTGTCGGTGACGACAGTAAACCGACTAAGGAAGGAGTTTTCTTCCTTCCTGATCTCTGGTCAAAATGACCAGACTGTATGGCCAGGAGCAACGAAAGGTAGGTCCAATCTGGCCCAACGAAAGAAAACTGGATACGACGAGTGGTCAATATTAACCACTTTGATAGAGTATGTGAATAAGGTGATGTGACAAAATAACTTGATTTATTTTATTTGTCAAAATTTGGGTGGGTTATTCTTCTTGATATATTCTCGTATATGTGTGCGAGATTGAAACCTCACTTAAATCCCACGCGCGTGTTAATACTCCAAATTAAATCCCTGAAAAATCGCGCGCGTTTAAACTCCAAATTAGGTCCCATTAGTGAAGGGTCTCTGCAAGGTTAGTTTGTTATCAGATAACATTTTAAGTCAATTTTAAAAAAGAAGCATCATTTTATTAATAAAAATGCAAAGTTTATTTTTACTATTTCCTATGAGTGGTGAGCTCTTACATTAGTTTTAACCCTTTGATTATTAGCAATATCTGTAGGTATTTGATGAAAGTTTTCACTAACCAATTTTAATCAATAAATGTTACAATCGGTAATGTAAATGGCTGTAATAACTATAACAATTTTATACAAGATGATTTTCAGACAAGATGATTTTCAAAAAATTTTAAAAACTTCTGATAATGACTGAAAGACATTTTCTAAACGACAATTATATTATATTGTATTTATCAACAGCCGCTATCCAGTTATCGACATTAAAATAAATATACACAGTTGAAAAATTTATGTTAAATTTAACAGATATCACATATCCCAAACGGTCCACACAAATTTTTGTGTTAATTTAACAAACTATGGATATGTCACATGATCACACTAATACTCTGTTAATATTTCAACACAAAATAAATGCAAATCTCAAAATAACTTGAAATACATTTTGTGTAAAATTAACATATTTTTAATAACAAAATAAATTTAGAAAACTGTAATTTTTACATTTTACAGATGTAATAAGTTAAATGACAATTTTACATTTGAGATCAATTAAGACAGAAGCAGTATGTTAAATTAACATATGAATGTGTTGAACATTTAACACAAAAATTTTAACCGGCTTTTTTTTACAAGAAAACACAAATTTTTCAACTGTATAGACATGTTTTATTTGAAAAATAAAATGGATAAAATAAATATTATAATATTGTTGGAGTAAAAAAAATGGAAAGAAGCAGAGTATATCAAGAATGAGATCATTTCTTTCTGAATCTGTTCGTGATGAATGTTCCATTACGACATAAAATAATAAATCATTATATTTATTTTCTGAAATGCAAATTAAAAATATGTATATGTACGTTTACATGTAATTAGCACAGAATAGCGTGGCACGTGCGAGAAGGAAAAAATTTGCAAATATGTTCTTCTTGGAATGCTTCCTTTTAGCTTCCAATTTTTCCGTTTATCTTCAAAAAGAAAAAAGCACAAGCAATGTTGAAAAATTGTGGTTCTTTAATTATTTTTTACGAAGATGGCGGATGATAAATTTTTTATCTCGGGATCAACAACTCGATCTCTACATATGAAATTTTTAAGTATTCCCGCGGTGATAGGTTTTTTCGCGTTTAGATAATTAATCACCTCGTATGCAAGAGCATGATATATGATAAACTCTCGGATGCAGTCGCGTGTTCGTTCAACCAGCCTCATCACCTGCACCTGAGATTTCCGTTGGACTCGGGCTGCGAGGCTGCTTATCGTGTAACACTCAGTCGAATTGTAATGGATGCGTGGGTGGCAGCCTAC